TCAGGAAGAATGTCTGTAGGGGAGGGGTCTAGAGAAGGACGCTTCTGATAAAATGGGATTCTTGTGATTATTCAAGTGGAAGCAGTAGAGAGGGTAGCAAGGGTGAGGTATGTTGGGAGGGTGTAGGAAGAAGGGGGTGGAGGGAACTTAAGGAAGAGGAGGATAGATATCTGCAAATACTTTAAATGTAGGAGTAGGAACAGAGGGAATGGAAAGTGGATGAGGACGTAGAATGTTCCTTCGGGTCATATTTAGGAAGTTATGGATGCCTTCAAGGGTTTCTGGAGGGGAGTTGGGTGAGGAGGACTGAGAAACAAAGGTTTTCTTGTGAGGAGGAGAAGAGGAGATGGATATCTGAGGAGCATAAGAGGAGGAAGGTGTAGGAGAGCATGTAACAGGAGAGGGTGGAATGAAACGTTTAGGATGCCTGGTGAGATAAATAAAGTGAGAAGGTGGGGTAGGTATAGGGGAAGTGGTAGAGATTGGAGTATCTGGATTTAGACTGGAAAAAAAATGGTGATTAGACAGGATGGTTTAGGGTAAAGGGAAGAGATGATATGAGAAAAAACATCTTGTGAAGATGGTGGGAGAACATAGCAAAGGACTGTTTTGGAATAAGTTGAGAGAGAAAAACCTTGTCATCATGCTTCTTGCCTGTCCTCATGTAGAGTGAGGCCTAATTTAAATCTGAGGACTGCTGCACTTATAGGCAGGGCAGCTCCTATAGAATACATTATGGCACATGTACATGATTGAGCAGGGAAATTTGAATAGTCATGACCAGGTTGGGCACACAGAGGGCAGCGGGCTGTGGAGCAACAATGTTTGGCTGGGTGGCAAAAACGCCAACATTTCTGACATGGACGAGGAAGGGGTTGATATGGTCAGACATGGTATAATAATCCACCAATATAAACTTCATGGGGGAGGTCATGTCTACGGAAGTTAACTTGACAATATTGACATGGGACTTACACTGGCCTCTGGGAGGAATAGTGTAACACTGTACAGCCACCATCATAATTAGCAAGGAAGGTACATAGGTCATTTTCACAGTCTGAGCAGTCCTTGTTGTAGATAGGACAAGCATTTGGGGGATAGAAATAGTTCCAGTACAAGTGTTAACCCACTAAGACCGGTATACTTTGAAGCTAAAAATAAAAGTTTCCTTGCGGCTACAAAATCTGCGTGCGGGGCTGGCCCAGACTCTGCCCGCACACCGACCACAGCCTGCTGCTGAGTCGGAGCACTAACCCCAATACAGCATCACACTGGTGGGAGGTCCAGCAATTTTTTTTTCACTAGTGGGTTAAGAGAGGTGTCAGGTTCGGCAGGAATGGGTTTGCCAGTGAGGTCAGTGAACTTGGGATTCAGATGTAACTGTGACATGGCATGAACAATCGGAGCAACTGTGAAAGGTAACCTTTCCTACTTGTTTTTAGAGGCACTGCTGAGAGAGATGGGTATTCTCAGAATAGGGGGCTATGGGGGGAATCACAAAGAATCGATCCCACTTGGCTGGGCCAAAAAGAGTACTCAAAAGGTTTGCGGAGGTAGAGTCAGTAGAAGGATAAGGGCGAGAGGAAGATGGGGTGGTATGAAGTGAAGTAGTTCTATGGGGATGGGTAATAACAAGGACAGTAAGGATGAAGAGTAGTAATAAGGTAAGAGGGGGTAGACGGACTGTGCAGCAGATGGAGAGGAGAATGTTGGGAGAGAAGAAGAGGTGCTTTCTGGAGGTTTAGTAATAACCTGGGTGGATGTTTTGGAATGAAGATAGTTGTCAGTAAGTGTTGAGGAGGGGGTATTAGTATCAGTGGTCAGAGCCATGGTCAAAGGAGGGGCAGAAGTCGGAAAACCATCAAAATCAAATTTAGATAGGCTAGTTGATGAAGGGGCAAGCATTAATGCCCCTGTTAAGGATAAAGAATCTTCATTATTGGCTATGGTGAGCCTGAATAAAATGGGGAAAAGAAGTAGTCTAACCCTCAGGGTCGCCACAAGGGGTAAGGGCTAGGCACTTAACCAAGGGAATACAGTGGCCATGGCTCTAGGAGGCAATTCATGATTGACACAAAGCTAGCCTTTCATCCTTTCAGCACAGCTCTCACACCTTAGGATTAGGATAGAAGAAGGGGATGAAGAAGATACGGAAGAGGAGAGGAGAGAAGAAAAGACCGAGCAAAATTAGTTTGAGGCGAGGGTTGAGGCCCAAGGAAAGGGTGCTCCCCTATATTGAGCCTAAAGTCTCTGTCTCTTAAGCCCTCCCAGGACAACAATGAGAAAGGTACTGAGAGGGGTGACGACACCTAAGCATTATCTGGGGAACTAACCAAGCCAGACGTGGAGCTGCCTGCCTAGATCTTGCTCAGTTTTTTTTTTTTTTTTTTTTACTGTAAGTAATTATCTAGAGTCTATAATCATCTCAGAAATATGAAATTATCATCATGCAGTTCTAACCACTAATAATGTTCTGAAGGTAGACTAGATGCACAGAGGCCAGAGAACTGCCATTGTAATGTAACAAAAATAGTGTGGCTTGATAGCTAGAGGGAACTGGGTTATGTCTGACTCTGGAACTTGGTTGTATCTGGCTAATGGAATCAAAGCTTAACCCCTTCAGGGACAGGTATGGCTATAGCTGTCATGATGTAATAGCCTATAATATATATATGTGCCATGACTCGCAATTGGTTGGCCACCTGTACACAGCTTAGGGCTAGCCACGAAGTCTAGACTGTATTACATCACAAAAAAAATCAGGCTCAGTTATGAACGCTAATTTCTGCCTAATGTAGATCTGACAATGAGACGTAAAATACTTATTTTTGATATTTCTTACTCATTTGCTTGCCATACTGGTTGTAGTAGCATTAAGGCCTGAAATTGCTATGGCAAAGGCAAAGGAGGTGATTAAACTCTGGCAATTTTGGGCTTCTTCATGGGACAATAAATCTCCACGATGTATTTAAAAAAATTGCAAAACAGCCTCCTGCCTTAGATTCTCAATGCCTGTTAGCACTCCAGTGACAGTAACATTCAAGTAAGATAAAAGCTTGAAGACCTCACTAGATATTTGATATGAAAAAAAAATGAAGAAGATCTATCTTGCCACATTATAATACATGATAACTCCTCCCAGAGCACACAGAGAAAGAGAGAGATCCTCCCCCTCAGCCAGACAGTACTCAAGGACAGGGACCCTCCTCCACAGCCACTGGGCTGGTAAAGAGATTATGCCTTATCCTTGCACTGTGTTGACTGGAGTGTCTCTTGGCAATGCAGCCTCCACACTAAGCATTCAGTAGAAAAAAAAAAAAAAAAAAAAAAAAAAAAAAAAAAACACCGAGTCAGCTAAAAATAGCTGCTACAGGCCAGGCTACATGTGAGAAAAGGCCCAGACGAAGCTAGACTTCGCAAATCTAAATAATCAATTGCCGGAGTATCAAGCACAGGGGTTGTGATGGATGCTTAACATTACATTAGGCCTAATACATAAATCAGGGTGGCATGCATCAATTGACAGACAGCCTTCATCTACCTTGACTTTCATCATAGTTTTAGCGTATGTTTACATTTAGCTAGACACAGCTTAGATATTATAATCACAAGTTGTTTTCTAAATAACTACCTATATCTTGTCCATGTAAAGTCATGAGTAATGAATATGCCTTTCACAGACAATACTCATAACTTCATGTAACATATGTAAGCAGAATGAATCCAATTTCAACTGTCCAGGATGCTTTGAGTACATTGAAATGTAGTTGATATCTGCCTAATATAAACTAATATATGCATAACATATGCCTTTCCTGGATCTTACTCACCCACATGATATACCATATGCACAGTGACTGCAACTGCCTCCATCCTTTCCTTCCTTAAAACCAATCTGCTAATTTAGAAATCAAAGGTTTGCACATCAGAGCAAACTACATGAGAAATTCTGAATCACATCTGTGAGTCATATTGTCTTGACAAAAAAATCCATAAATTAATTTCCATTTACTATTGACTACTTAAGGCTCACTGTCTAATACAAATATGACAGATACATTGGGTTGACTTCATGCAACTTACAGGTTCTATAGATTGCCATCTCCGCCTGTGTAGCCATAGTTTGGGTCCCAGTCACAAAAGAGACTCAAACAAACACTCTGGAATCAATGCCCTTTCCACCAGAGATCTTTTACAGATCTCTTTAAATACTGCACGCCAGCAAACATTTCCCTTCGTTAACATCACTGGCATATATTGGCAAACAGGTATTCAGAATCTGGCTTGGTATATATCAAATTTGGTCTTGGCATACATCTCTGGTGCCTTAGCCCAGTAGTAAACCCTTGTTGCTAGTCAGCTAATATGGTAAAAACAACTACTTGTTTTCATTGCTCAGTTGGAAGGGAAGGAGAAAGAAAAACCTGTGGACAGAAAGTCTGAAACAACAGTAATTGTTACCAAGAGTGACACACTCTCCGCACCCTCCAGAGACGAAGTCCCAAACCAGCGTAACGTGTGAACCCCAAAACCTATACCTAACCATCCTACCTTTTCTTTATTTCTTAGATGGAGGTAAGCCCCCCTGTATCCCCCAGTTACTAAAACTGTGATATGCAGTTGATATTTTCATCATTTCGTGATAAATATGAGGCCGCTGCACCTGTATTTATCTTGCGCGGGAAATGTTACATTTTTTCATGCATGGAAAACATAATTTTGCCTGCATTTGCATGGAAGGATCTGTGGATAGATGATGAAACAAGTGCACCAAAAGGTCAAAAGAATTTTATGTGCGAAAGATGATTTAAAACTGAACTATGCATGTGTGAAAAGTTACCGGACAACTACATTTGCGCTGACAGAATTTGACCAAATAATTTTTGCGCAGGCCTGTACTTATGTTGCCATATCCTGTTTCTTGTGCTCTATATGATGGCTGTGTCCATTTTCCCCTACCTCTATAGCAGTCAAATCACTGCCTGTAGGTCTACATATTC